CGCCATTCTGTGTGTTTATATTTCGAGGGGCGCCATTCTGTGTGTTTATATTTCCAGTGACGCCATTCTATGTGCGATAATATTTCCAAGGACGCCATTCTGTGTGTTTATATTTCCAGTGGCGCCATTCTGTGTGTTAATATTTTTAGTGACGCCATTTCGTGTGCGATTATATTTCCAGTGACACCATTCTGTGTGTGTTTATGCTTTCAGTGACGCCATTCTGTGTGCGTTTATATTTCCAGTGTCGCCATTCTGTGTTTGTTTATATTTCCAGTGGCGCCATTCTGTGTGTTTATATTTCGAGGGGCGCCATTCTGTGTGTTTATATTTCCAGTGACGCCATTCTATGTGCGATAATATTTCCAAGGACGCCATTCTGTGTGTTTATATTTCCAGTGGCGCCATTCTGTGTGTTAATATTTTTAGTGACGCCATTTAGTGTGCGATTATATTTCCAGTGACACCATTCTGTGTGTGTTTATGCTTTCAGTGACGCCATTCTGTGTGCGTTTATATTTCCAGTGTCGCCATTCTGTGTTTGTTTATATTTCCAGTGGCGCCATTCTGTGTGTTTATATTTCCAATGACGCCATTCTGTGTGTTTATATTTCGAGGGGCGCCATTCTGTGTGTTTATATTTCCAGTGACGCCATTCTGTGTGCGATAATATTTCCATGGACGCCATTCTGTGTGTTTATATTTCCAGTGGCGCCATTCTGTGTGTTAATATTTTCAGTGACGCCATTTCATGTGCGATTATATTTCCAAGGACGCCATTCTGTGTGTTTATATTTCCAGTGGCGCCATTCTGTGTGTTTATATTTCCACTGGCGCCATTCTGTGTGTTAATGTTTTCAGTGACGCCATTTCGTGTGCGATTATATTTCCAGTGACGCCATTCTGTGTGTGTTTATGCTTTCAGTGACGCCATTCTGTGTGCGTTTATATTTCCAGTGTCGCCATTCTGTGTTTGTTTATATTTCCAGTGACGCCATTCTGTGTGTTTATATTTCGAGGGGCGCCATTCTGTGTGTTTATATTTCCAGTGACGCCATTCTATGTGTTATAATATTTCCAAGGACGCCATTCTGTGTGTTTATATTTCCAATGGCGCCATTCTGTGTGTTAATATTTTCAGTGACGCCATTTCGTGTGCGATTATATTTCCAGTGACGCCATTCTGTGTGTGTTTATGCTTTCAGTGACATCATTCTGTGTGCGTTTATATTTCCAGTGACGCCATTCTGTGTTTGTTTATATTTCCAGTGACGCCATTCTGTGTGTTTATATTTCCAGTGGCGCCATTCTGTGTGTTAATATTTTCAGTGACGCCATTTCGTGTGCGATTATATTTCCAGTGACGCCATTCTGTGTGTGTGTTTATGCTTTCAGTGACATCATTCTGTGTGCGTTTATATTTCCAGTGACGCCATTCTGTGTTTGTTTATATTTCCAGTGACGCCATTCTGTGTGTTTATATTTCCAGTGGCGCCATTCTGTGTGTTAATATTTTCAGTGACGCCATTTCGTGTGCGATTATATTTCCAGTGACGCCATTCTGTGTGTGTGTTTATGCTTTCAGTGACATCATTCTGTGTGCGTTTATATTTCCAGTGACGCCATTCTGTGTTTGTTTATATTTCCAGTGACGCCATTCTGTGTGCGTTTATATTTCCAGTAGCGCCATTCTGTGTGTTAATATTTCCAGTGACGCCATTTCGTGTGCGATTATATTTCCAGTGACGCCATTCTGGGTGTTTATGCTTCCAGTGCCATCATTCTGTGTGCGTTTATATTTCCAGTGACGCCATTCTGTGTGTGTTTATATTTCCAGTGGCGCCATTCTGTGTACGATTATGCTTCCAGTGACGCCATTCTGTGTGTTTATGTTTCCAGTGACGCCATTCTATGTGTTTATATTTCCAGTGACGCCATTCTGTGTGCGTTTATATTTCCAGTGACGCCATTCTATGTGTTTATATTTCCAGTGACGCCATTCTGTGTCTTTATATTTCCAGTGACGCCATTCTATGTGCGATTATATTTCCAGTGACGCCATTCTGTGTGCGTTTATATTTGCAGTGACGCCATTCTGTGTGTTTATATTTCCAGTGACGCCATTCTATGTGCGATTATATTTCCAGTGACGCCATTATGTGTGTTTATATTTCCAGTGTCGCCATTGTGTGTGTGTTTATATTTCCAGTGACGCCATTCTGTGTGCGTTTACATTTCCAGTGACGCCATTCTTTGTGTTTATATTTCCATTGACACCATTCTGTGTGCGTTTGCATTTCCAGTGACACCATTCTGTGTGTGTTTATATTTCCAGTGACGCCATTCTGTGTGTGTTTATTTTCATTTCAAATCAATTTTATTGTATTAAAAAAAACACAATTGGATTAGTCACAGGTATTGCTTATAAAAGCCCTGTCCAGAGAAAATACACACATTTCATACATTCATATATACATATATATATAGAGAGAGAGTATTATAGAGAAGATGTAGTATATGTTCGAATTAATAGGAGAATACTAGAACCATGTAATACATGTTCACAGAAAATAATACATGTAACTAGAATATCATAGATTTTACCATTTCAATTAATATAGTCTAATGCTTCAATTACTAATAGCCTAGTGTTTGGTTGGAGGCACTTCAAAGACACTGTCACTATAGACAGTGCCATCCTTCCCAATTACACCAGAGTTGTTGTTATACATGTAACATAGGAAATACAAACACATTGTAAAATAATTTTTAGTATAGTTTAAGTTAAAATCTTCCAGATTTGTCAATAAACTCCAGAACACATGAGAGAATAAATGTATTTGATTCACTGCTAAGGTTCATATCACCCTTTGTGAAAGTAACAGTATTTAAGATGATGTTGTCAATTTCGTTATAATTAGATAACGCATTGAATAAAACTTGTCTTTCATCTTTATATTTGGGGCAATTGAGGAAGAAGTGATTTGCATCTTCAATGATAAAACCACAGTCACACTGAGGGTTATCTGTAAGATGATCATTATATAATTGGCTGACTTTATTCCGTAGTTGACATAATGTTATATTCAACTTCCTGGAGCCACCGTATTTAAAAATATCCGTACAGTTAGATGGATCCAAAATGTGTGTGCTTTCCTTAAGTAATTCCAGTTTTAACTGGCTCAATGAAGTGAGTTTTGGAAAAATACAGTCTGGCCTATTCCATAGAGACATCATTCTAGGAAAAAAAACTATTTGTATACAAGTTGGTTCTGCACAAGGGAACAATAAAGGTTCTATGATGTCTAAGGCGAGGATTAATATTATTATTAAAATATGGTAAGATACAATCATAAATATGGTCAGGACAGTCATGCTGCAGTATCTTGAAAAATAATATACATTGGTAACTATCACGTCTTATTTTTAGTTTATCTACACCAACTTCCTTATATATTAAGTTATGACTTGTACCTCTTCTCAAACCTGATATAATTCTGAGACATTCTAATTGGTCTGATTCCAATAAGTCACTTTCACCCTGGGTGCAATTATTCCACACAGCACAAGCATATTCAAGTGTTGGTCTTATAAAAGATTTATAAATTATTTCAAGAGATTTTCTATCTAGCTTGTGTTTGAGCATTCGCATTATTTGTAGTTTTGTACAGCTTTTTCCATATATATAATTAACTTGATCAGACCATGATCCACGACTATTAAAAAGCAAACCAAGATGTTTATGATTTTTGACATTTATAACGACACTATTTGAGAATACCAAATCTGGATGAGATGTCTCAGAATTATTTTTATTAGACATTAGTAATGATTCAGTTTTACTTGGATTAAATGATATTCCCCATTTATCAGCCCAGAGAGACATTCTCCTTAAATCCTCATTAAGAATATCTGCAGCATGTCTGCCATCACCATCTATCAAAACGTAAAGAGAAGTGTCATCAGCAAAGAGTTTGACATGGGATTGGAGTTCATCTTCTAGGTCATAAATAAATATTAAAAATAAATAAGGCCTGAGAACCGAGCCTTGGGGTAAACCAGCTTTTAATGTTTGTAAATTTGACTTGTAGCCATCTATTACACTGTAATACCCTTTGTTGTCTATCAGTAAGATAGCTATGAATCCAGTTCAAAACGTCGTCACAAATAAATGTGTGTGTTTATATTTCCAGTGACCCCATTCTATGTTTGTTTATGCTTCCAGTGATGCCATTCTGTGTGCGTTTATATTTTCAGTGACGCCATTCTCTGTGTGTTTATATTTCAATTGACGCCATTCTGTGTGTTTATATTTCAAGTGACGCCATTCTGTGTGTTTATATTTCCAGTGACGCCATTCTGTGTTTGTTTATATTTCCAGTGGCGCCATTCTGTGTTTATATTTCCAGTGACGCCATTCTGTGTGTTTATATTTCCAGTGACGCCATTCTGTTGTTGTTCATATTTCCAGTGACGCCATTCTGTGTGCGTTTATATTTCCAGTGACGCCATTCTGTGTGTGTTTATATTTCCAGTGGCGCCATTCTGTGCGTTTATATTTCCAGTGACGCCATTTTGTGTGCGTGTATATTTCAAATGACGCCATTCTGTGTGTTTTTATTTTTCCAGTGACGCCATTCTATATGTATTTATATTTCCAGAGACGCCATTTTGTCTGTTTATATTTCCAGTGACGCCGTTCTATGTGTGTTTATGGATCTGTTCACAGCGTTTTACTGTGGCTTTGTCGTCTTCTCTATCTTGGGTTTCCTTGCCCATGAGTCAGGGATGGGAGTAGATGAAGTCGTTGAAGCAGGTAGGGCCAGTTACTACGACCACGTCAGTTTCCGTCTAAACAGTTCATTTGTTACAAATTCTGAGGTCCCTGTTACTAGGAGCCCCATTAAATGTAGGGGAAACTAGATTAAGAAGCAAAGAATTAGAAAATGAGTTAAAGTTGATTAGAGACAGAAAAAATTAAAGGAATTGTTTTGAGAGCAAAAGCAAGATGAAAAGTTGAAGGTGAACGGAGTTCCAGTTTTTTTTTGCAATTTAGAAAAAAAGACATTATCAAGAAAAGTTAATTCCAAAGCTTATAACAGAAACTGGCGAAGAAATAAAAGACATTTTAGGAAACAGAAAAAAATCTATCAGACACTCTATACTAGCTCATACACAAATGATAATGTAGCGAATGACTTTTTTTTTGATAATGACAACCCCTTTATAAATAAACTGTCCCTGGAACAAAGTAACCAGTTAGAAGGAAAAATACATTACCAGGAATTTCTTCAATCCCTAAAAAATATGAACAATAATAAATCTCCTGGAATTGATAGATTTACTGTAGAATTTTACAAGTTTTTTTGGACAGATATCAATAGGTTTTTAATTAATTCACTTAATCAAGCATATGACGAGGGACTTGTATCTATAACACAACGTCAATGTATGATTGCATGTATTCCGAAAGAAGGTAAATCTAAATTATATGTAAAACATTGGAGGCCTATTACCTTACTTAATGTAGACTACAAAATTGTTTCTTCAGTTATTTCAAATAGAATCAAAACAGTTTTAAACAATATAATAGATAAAACACAAAAAGGCTTCCTTAAAGGAAGATATATTGGAGAATGCAATAGGCTTATTTATGATCTAATAGAACGTATTGAAAAAGAAAACATCCCTGGATTATTGTTACTTATAGATTTTGAGAAAGCCTTCGACTCTCTAGAGTTTAATTTTATCTTTAAAACGCTTTCCTTTTACGGCTTTGGTCCTTCTCTTTTACAATGGATAAAATTTTCTATAATGATAATTCATGTTGTATAATAAACAATGGACACTGCTCCAATTTTTTTAATGTATGCCATGGAGTAAGACAAGGCGACCCTATTAGTCCATAAATCTTCATCCTATGTGTAGAAATGTTAAGCTCAGCAATAAAAGGTAAATCCTAATATTAAGGATATTAAAGTAAATAATTCAGAATATTTGATAAATCAATTTGCAGATGACACTTCCTATACTTTATCGGATGATCCATATTCCTTTAATTCTGTTATTGAAAAAATCCAGGCAATTTGGATTGGGTCAAAACGGGGTTGTGGAGAGGAAATACTACTAGATAGGAATTTGAATTGGAATCACCAAGGAAAATTTAAATTATTAGGTATCACTTATAACTTTCAATTGGAAACAAATTTGGAAGATAATTTCAGACAAAAGTTAGTCGCTGTCAAAAAGCTACTAAATGATTGGTTATTCAGAAACCTTACATATATTGGCAAAGTAACTGTTATAAAAACTTAAGCTCTGCTCATTTTTATTCAAACATTTACTGTCTTACCAGACCCACCCTTAGAAATTGTCAAAGAGCTACAGAAATATTTCTTTGAATTTATATGGAATGAAAAGGTAGACAAAGTAAAACGTACAGTTATGTATGGGGATTATAATGAGGGAGGTTTACGTGTACCACACATTTTATCTTTTTGTCATGCCTTAAAAATGTGCTGGATTAAAAAAGTATTGGATCCATTAAATACCTCACCTTGGAAGACACTGATAATAGATAAAATTGAACCATATGTGGGGAGATAAAGTCTTTCAAATGAAAAAAGAAGGGCTGTTAAAAATTTCCAAATTCTTAAATATCTTTTGGAGAGAAATATTCACTATATGGGCAGAGTTAACTGGTGATGAACTCCCCACAACCCCAGACACTGTTGCTTCCCAGACGTTCTGGTATAATAACTTCATTAAAATTGATAATAAGATTTTTATTTATAAACATTGGTGTGAAAAAGACATTTTTGTATTGGGGATCTTGTTGAAAACAATAGTTTTTTAACACATGAATACTTTTGTGAGAAATTCAATTTGGATGTTAATTTCATTGAATTTTTTGGAATTTTAAATGCAATACCAAGGTCATGGAAACTAATTTTATTTCAAAGAAATGAACCAATTGAGGCAAAACAAAGTAAATGTATACCGTATTTGAAGAAACATGAAAAGGTTACAAACTATTTTTATAAATTTATGCTGAAATCAGTCACAGAAATACCAAAGAAAAGTCAAGATGGATGGCAGGAAATTTTACATGTAAACATTCCCAAAAAATCCTGGTGTAAGTTTTATTCAAATCCGAGATATATTACAGATGACACTAAACTTCAGAATTTTCAGTTCAAACTCATCATAGAATTCTATATACTAATACCAAATTAATGCAATGTAAATTGAGTGAAACAGAAAGATGTACATTCTGTGGTGAGGGAAGAGAGAAACATTAATACATTTATCCGGGAATGTTGTCATGGACAATCTCTTTGGTCATCCTTTATGTATCTCTTGAGGTCACAATATGAAATAGACTTAGCAAGAGACCCAGTAATCATGTTGTTTGGTATTTTTGAAACTGAAACTGAAAATGAAATAAATTTCTTGATTTTAATATTGAAATATTACATATGTTTGTGCAAATTAAGGAGGAAAACCCCTACAATTACTGAATGGAAAACTTACATATTTTTTCTAAAAAAAAAAGTAGAAGAGTGTGGACTTGATACATATTAAAATTTAAAAAAAAGATTATGGTAAATCAAAAATGGAATTTCATTGACAGAATGCTAAATATGGATGCATAATTGGAGTTGTAAGCGGGTTTTTTTCTTTTTATTCTCTTTTGTTTTTTTGGATACAATCTTCAGAGTTAAATCAATCAGGAAATATGTCAAAATTAATGTAGCAATGTAGCAGTATGACTTTTTTTATATTTGTATTTGTTCTAATAAAGTTTTAGAGATGCAAGATCTGTTCAAAGATATAGATAACATACGTACAGTGGCCTTTCATTATTCTTACTGATATTTACATATTTTTATATGTTTTGAATGTAACAACAATAAAAAAACAAAAACAAATAAAAACAAGCAAAGAATTTGTTTAGAATTGTGGTGATTTATTTACAGTTCATTTAAAAACTACTTCTCTGTTTTAAATGAGAAATTCGCAACGAAGTTGATTCGGAAACGCATGCATTAGCACAAACATATTTATTTGTATGTACAATAAATCTCCGTTAATCCAGCCACCAATAAGAAAAATAGAGTCAGAAATACGTATATCAAGCCACCACGAATACGGTTGCCTCAACGCCCAACACGTGCTTGAGGGACAAATCTGGTCATCTCGCAACAAGCTACAATGCACCAGTGGAGGCTAGAAAATCGGATGTACACTATATAAATCTTACTGAATGTGTCTGGATATATTATTCGTATATATCTACAAAGCATTTAAATTCACGACGCCCTCTCTTAGCCAACAACTTGCAGTTTATATTAAAAAACTACTTTTGAAGTCATCTCCCCTGTAAATCTGGAGGAATACCAAAACCCAATGAATAGCTTGTTAAATATAATGCTGTGACTTTCTTATAACGACTTGAAAACTAGAACTTTCGGTTAGAGTTATCCAGGGGTTATGGAAACGTTCAAATTATGAATACAACAAAATTCAGAATATCTGATATCATATCACTGCTATAGATTGATGTTTATTGAGGATTATTTTTTACTTTGAAAACCATTATTTCTTCTTTTCAACAATATGAAGTTGTCACTTACCACTTATTAAAGCTCACCAGACTATGAGCAACCTCGGCCAGGTCAACAATATTGACTTTGAATGACCAAATTAGAACTTTGTATCTCATATCCAATAGTAAACAACGCATAAACACAAAACATAGCAATACTATGATGTATACCGTAAGGATCTTAATTTTTCCTTTTTGTTATTTTCGTAGGTCCAGGATTAATTTTCCTTGCTTACCCAGAAGCCCTTATACGACTTCCGCTTCCGCAGCTGTGGTCTGTACTCTTCTTTGTTATGGTTGTTTTCGTCGGAATAGACAGTCAGGTATATATTGAAATGTTACAATGTCATTCTCACAAGTAGTAATAATTAAAGATTCCATTGCACTGGACCAAGTTCTCACAAGTAGTAATAATTAAAGATTTCATTGCATTAGACTAAGTTCTCACAATTAGTAATATTTCAAGATTTCATTGCATTAGACCAAGTTCTCACAAGTAGTAATAACTAAAGATTTCATTGCATTAGACCAAGTACAAATTAGAAAGCGATTGTCCGACCCAGGTTAGCGATATTCAACAAACATGCATTCTCAACACTTACTGTTTGTTTGTAGTCTGCAATTTTTACCATCTATAACTATCACTTGTCTACAACTACCACTTGTTGCTATCTTCCACATGTCTATAACCCTATGTTTATAACTTCCACCTGATTACAGGCACTACCTGTCTATAAATATATCACCAGTACGAGTCTATAAATACCACCTGTCTATACCAACCTCCTTTCTATAACTACCAACTGAATATACAAAAATTGAATAATATATTTGATAGCCTGTTGTTGACTTAAAACATGTGTTTTTACATTCCCTCCTAATGAGAATATAATTCAGACTATTATATTGGTATTCCTGTAAAACTAGAAACAATGTAATTTATTATATAAGAGTGACTAAAGAATATGTAGCTATATATATAATTGTTTTCTTGTTAACAGTTCGGGCTGTTAGAGACCATCGTCAGTGGCCTTGTAGACATGTACCCGAGGACACTAGGGAGACACAAACTACTCGTACTCGCTGTTCTGTTCCTCTGCTATATCATCACCAGTCTGATCTTTGCGACACAGGTAAGTTAACCGTTCTGTGTCACGATGCTGCTGCTGCTGCTAATGATGATGATGATGATGATGCCTTGAATGATGATGATGATGAAATATCTCTTTAAAAGTTAAATAACAGAGTATGCAGTTATGGGTCTGAAATAGACCAGCTGTGTAGCAATGACATTGCTTGGAAAAACTGGCACGGAAGTAATTAGTTATTGCAACAAAAAGATAACGCACATTTCAAAAAGCATTCGTGTGCATTGCATTGTATTGACTAAAATGGTGAATACAGTATTGATATGTACCGTCGTTGTTACAGTGTATATGTATAATGTGAAAAAGTCATATACATAATACATTGAATGTAATCGTTACAGTCTTATGTGAAATGGGATTCATGAAATACCACATCTAAAACCATTTTGCATCTTGCAGAAACTGTCTTGTAAATCCATATAAAAACAGCTAAGAATTCAGACTTTACTCCCAAACGGACGAATCATCAACGGATTTGTTTGAAATTGATTAAACCAATAAACCCAAAATAGTGTACAAAAGTAGAAACATAACAGTCAAAATAAATATACTTTACGGGATTTGTGTGTTGATGAATTGAATAATTAACTCGATCCATAAATCCATAAGGAAAACTTCAAACACTTAACAATATATATGGAAATAAAATACAGAAACAGCATTGCTGCCAATCAGCCTCATGGTCCTATACAACAACAGTTTATCAAAAGGAACTCTGTAAGGATGATACTCCTTTTTGATTCAGTTTATTAATTTCATCATATGTGAAAATAAGAAATACTGCTATCAAGTGGAGGTGATAGTAATGTAGTAAAATTATCATTTCTCATATCCTAACCAAATGACATCAGTAACCGAAGCTCTGAACCACTGGGTTGAGTACAATGTACATTGTATCGTGTGACTTGTTCTGAAATCCCCCAAAACACTTTGTTTACAGGCAGGAGTATATGTGTTCCAGCTAATAGACTGGTATATCGCAGCCTACGCTATCTTCTTCGGGTCACTGCTAGAGTGTGTGGTGATTGGCTGGCTCTACGGTAGGTGTCTATATTTATATATAGTATTAAAGTGACCGTTTCTTTATATTTCAGAAAAGCATCAATTTAATGCCTCTCATTATATTTTAAATCTCACGTAACGGAAAGATATTTCATACTTTCCATTCTTTTTTTACCGATCCTGGATATATTAGGTTGCTGATGCAGAAGGCAGAACAAAATTAATATTAAGTTCATTATATAGTCATATAACACAAAATATATATATCGTGTTCATTATATTGTCATTTCGTCCATTTTCCTTCAAGTTGTAGCGATGTAAACGACTTCAGTTTATATTGGCAGGAACGTTATCACTGTTTTATTGTATAATATAGTTATTGGTTCGAATTGGTGAAGTGCGGCGACGAAATTAGTTAATAAGGTAAAAAACAACGAAACATAACAAAATTTGCTGTACTATCATTATTTGTCCCATTCCCTTGAAACTTGACAATGGTCTACATTAGAGTTTCCGACTGACGATGTAGTATTAAAACCAATACCTTACTAAGTTGCAAACAAGCATAAGTTAATAAAACACTCCCTGTGTATCTTCAAATACATCCCGTCTCTATTTCTCCTATTTTAAGCATAAAGAATCCGAATATCTGCATATAAATTTAATTTGATTCAGGTGTAGTGTTTCCTCTGCTTTGCTTCACACACCAAATACCCTAAAAGTACAATACATAACAAGAAATACGAAACATAATTGAAGATAACTAATGCACATCAAACGGCCTTTGTTGATATAAGATCGATCAACATATGTAAATGTGAAATATATGGTGTACTACATATTGATATTATTGGTTTATCTGTTGTTGGTAATTAATTTATATGTAAATAATGCCTTCTTTACCATTGTTAAATATGCACACTATTATGATCTAGGGGCGGAGAGGTTTAGTCGGGATGTGGTACTGATGATAGGACAGCCAGTGCCCCTACTTATCCGATGGTCCTGGTGTATCGTGGTCCCATTTGCGATGTTTGTATGTATAATCAGTTTGACATTTACATTTCTTCTGAAATCTGATCAATTTACCTAATGAAGAGTCTGGGTTATATTTTAGAAAAGAAAATATATTTCTTTCTTTGGCGTATGAAAACGTTACCAAGTTAGTGCGTAGACTGTATTCATGTGTTGTCTTCGAAAGTTTCCGTTTGCAATAATTATGTATCTATAAGTTTCATTATTGTTTTAGTTGAATTATTATCTTAGTAATAATGATAAACTTTTATAACGACCGAATCAGATCATTTAGGGTTAATATAATAGATAAAAGGAGGTCAGTTTGAAAAAAAAAAGAGACAGGGCAACAACTTCAAATGTTGACTATTGAAGTTGCATCTTATGCCATAGATTTATATTTAAGATGATATATCTTTTGGGCTTACAAATAATTGTATAAATATTTTGCGTGGCACTGCATCGTTTCTTAAAAATTGTGATTTTGGGTAAAATCAACGCAAACAATTTTTAAACATTTCTGTTGAGTAGATTTCTCTTATTCTTGTCATCACCAACATGACGAGTCCATCCTCAAAAGAATACACCTACCCATCTTACATTGGAATTGTGGGTATTTTCATCGGTCTCCTGCCGGTTTTTCCTATCCCAATATTTATGCTGACTCAGCTTATGACCTCATCCGGGACTCTGAGACAGGTAACAGTTACTTGTTATTTTTTTCTACCTAATACAATAGTGTATTTTGTAGCAGGTAGCACACTTACATTGCATGTAAGAAGAATGCAACCATAATATATAATGTATTCAATTGCAAGGACATATATTTTTGGCATAAACCAAATTTGATTGCTGTACCCATTACAATTGTTTTACTTTCCTGTTTTACTTTATACCGTTCTGCTCCTTTTTCAAGTAAACCATTTTATTTCGTTTCTCTTTTGCTCCTGCTTCATTACAACTGGTTCGCCTCTGGTATCTGGAGTGAGCCTCTGGTATCTGGAGTGAGCCTCTGGTATCTGGAGTGAGCCTCTGATATCTGGAGTGAGCCTCAGGTATCTGGAGTGAGCCTCTGGTATCTGGAGTGAGTCTCTGGTATCTGGAGTGAGCCTCTGATATCTGGAGTGAGCCTCTGGTATCTGATGTGAGCCTCTGGTATCTGGAGTGAGCCTCTGGTATCTGGAGTGAGCCTCTGGTATCTGGAGTGACTTGACATACACCTCTTTTACAATGTCTCCAATGTGCGGCATAAAAGACTTAATTGTAATAATAAACAATAGTGGGTTTTTTTTACTTTTTTATATACACACTTCATCCTTTCATTTTTTGTCTAAACTGGAAGATATCGTAAGGATTCCGTTGGTATTCGCTGAAGTATAATTGTTTTATATCATATTTTTGTTATTTCTATCTTTATTACTATTTGAAGATTTGGATAACATGTATATTTACATAGCATGTTGTATTACTCTATACTCTATACTCTATAGGACTATACATTGTCAGGACTCTCGATCTGATGTTGTCTTATTCGAAAGTTCAGAAATTGCAATAATTTCATTTTTAATGCAAATTGATCTTTATCTTGTATTGCATCTACATCATATCCATGTTCATTTTCAGAGAATCAAGAACCTGGTACGACCGTCGGCAGACTGGGGTCCGAATAGCGAGCGAGAGCGGGGAAAATATACAATGTACGAATATAGTAGCAATGTATGGCACAATATACAAGTAGATCTATTCGGACAACGTAAAAACAAATAGGACACGTGCTAGTGAGGTTGGTCTAAATTACAGTACTGAGACCACAACGTACAAATGTACACAAACTCAAACTGGAGCAGTTATTCGGACTAGCAATGTTGAGATTTGTTCGAAAGTTTGGAAGTTAATAAAGAGAGCGGTTTTTTCTCTTTGGCCTCTAAGACAGGTCCAATAAGTATAACAGTAAACGGTTTAAAGAGATTTAAAAGTGATCTTTAAAACAAGTGGTCTCTTAAAAGAGGCGGTATTTAGACTAAGTCTAACTGTAGTTGATATTTGTCATCATGTTAAAAGACTATTGATTGGACATGTGTATTTAGGGCAGTAAATCTGTGCGTTCATCATTCCAGAAGAACGTAAACAACAAAAGAAACAGCATCATAAATCCAACACGAGAAATGGAATGATATATTTAAATAATTATGTCGTTAACTAATTGTGAAATGTGATGTGCTCCAACAATATTACGTGTAGCCAGTTAAGTTTTAAAACGTACGTTTAGTCACAGGTACTCTGTGTGGTGTCCATAAAACAAATAACTAAATGAGGCCTAAGTGTGCTATGTGTCGTGGTAATGTGTGGTCTATCACACAAATAACATGTTATATAAGTGTAACAGAAGGTGTGATGTTTCAACAGTTTTTAACGTGGTCGTTATAAAACAGAATTATTTCCCTTACTATGTCAAAGATGACATTGAGGCTAAATGAGGGATAGTGTTTTAAGAGGAATGGTGGATACAATGAAACAACGCTGTTTGTCGAACAATAAACATCGACAAATAGTTTGCTTTAACATGACATTCTTTTCTGTTGACTTATAAATGACATTCTGCCATCATATGGTATTTATTTTTGCCAGAAGGAATCAATACCTATATTTGATTCTCTCTGCAAGGCTATCTCCGACAACAGAGGATTAAATACAGTTGTTCCAATACCACATGATGTGATTATCTGCAAAACATGGGAACCTAATTTCTAAAACTTTCCAGAATGATTTATTGTATGAATAATAAACGCTCTAAAGAAGACAAAAAATGATTAGCTAATATATAGGCCTCATAAACGTAATCAAATATTGATTAAAAAAAACCTTCATATTGGTAAATAGATAAAGTATAAAAATAGCAATATACATAATTATATAATGATTAATATCAATAAAATCTGAATGCACAAACCCTGTTTGCAAAACTAATTCTTATTAATTATTCTTGCATAGTGTCTGGTATAACATATAACCTAACATATAAAAAAAATAATCAATCCCGGTTTATTTTGCAATTTATAAGTATGATTTAAAGCGCATACAGCTTTGTGTTATAATGATTAATATTAATAAAATCTGAATGCACAAACCTTGTTTGCAAAACTAATTCTTTTCAATTATTCTTGCATAATGCCTGGTATAACATATAACCTAACATATAAAAAAAAAATAAAAAAAATCAATCCCGGATTATTTTCCAAAATAATTATAGACAGGTTTTCAATGGTTAGCTATACAAAAGAAACAAAGTCTAGCTTTAGAATATCAACCTATGAAAGATACGGAGAACCAAGATCGTACAGTACAAACGTAGTAAAAGATAACTGTAAAATTGATGAAATACTGTAATGAAATATCATGTTAAATGTGCATCAATAAACCTACATTGAATCCTTATAGTTTCTCATTGTGATTTTCAAATGCATTTTATTCTCTTTAAAGCTGCAACTAAGTTGGTATTAAAAAATCGCTGAAACTCACTTGTTCAGGAAAATCTTTAAATTGAGATAAAACTGTTTTAGGACTAACACAGTGTATTCTAACTTGTCTTTGTTGCATCGACAGTTTTATTGGTGTATTGCCAAGTGAGAATTAATTCTCTTCTGAATATTGAACCCGTGTTTCAATCAATTCCATCCGCGGCCATATGCCGCGCTATGCGAGTGCTTTGAACGTCACGAAGATAAACAGATATTAACAAGACATCACAAGTGTGACGAATCCCTTACATACACATGGAGAGGACATATTTGCATTCGGAAATGTGTATTTATCTGTGTAAAAATACTACATAAATATTGCAAAATAAACAAAGAGGAATGATATACTGCACGTACATGTATGAAATATGAAATTTAACAATGTTGATTTTATTGAAAGGACAACATTATAATTAATACAATGCTACACACAAAACAATGGTCCTAGAACACATACAAACACAAAAAACAATGGTCCTAGAACACATACAAACACAAAAAACACCCCAAACAATCGAATTAACCGCCGACAACATGATTTCTGAATGCGTAGACATCCGTTCTACCACTAGACCACAATGACAAATATCAAATCGCAATGCTGCAGTGACCTATCTTAACCTTTGACAGATGACGTCAATCAAGACAAACATACTCGTGCATTTTCAAGAAAATCGGTCAAGAAATACCGCCGCTAGAATGATGACAAGAAATGCGACGGTGAAATTATAATTTTAGTAAAACTTAAGAAAACGAACTGAGCTTCCATATGGAAATCTTTTAATTTCAATATGACCGCAAAAGTGCTGACGATGAGTATGATGGTGAAATATTACTTATGTACAATATGTATACATGTAGCACTTTTCCCTATATTGTTTTCGTGTTGTTGTTTTTTTGTCTAGTAAAGGTGGAAATGACCGGTGAAACGACTATATACCGCTGAGCACAAGGTACCGAGTAAGTAAAGTCAGTTGACGGAATTATATCGAGACCTTTAGTTGAAATAACTCTCTAATGCTGGCGGCAATCAGAGGGACTTTTCATTTTCCTTAAATTATTGCAAAACTGTCTAGAAGCAAGAAGAGTCAATACAACACATGGCTTCTCCAGCACACTAACACACGCATTCACGCATACACAACAAATACGGAAGCATGTCATTTAATGACATTAGTTGATAATAGGACTTTAAACAAATAAAAAAAAACAAAAAAACATGGCTACCCGTCTAACTTTTCGTAATTTGTTATCTAGAACATGTTGACTTTCGAGCTTTCTCTGCTACAAGGAATGAACCATGAGCCGCGACATGTGACTTGTTTTTCTGCAGAATAATACTTCCTTTATCAAAACATTATGCTAAAACATTTTGAAAGACAATATTCTTGCGATATTAATTATAAATATTTTGTTTTATTTAACAATATTTATGAAATAAGTAAATTGTATATAAACTCTCTTAATCACTCTTATCGGCCCATTGTTAGCGCATACACAAACATTGAGATATATACGTCTATAATAGAAACTTTGATAGCAAACATCTACATACAAACCAGAGGATTACAAATGTTCAAATCACAAACCAAATGATCTCAAACATCTACAACACAAACCAGAGGATTACAAATATTCAAATCACAAACCAGATCATCACAAACATCCACAACACAAACCAGAGGATTACAAGTGTTCAAATCACAAACCAAATGATCTCAAACATCTACAACACAAACCAGAGGATTACAAGTGTTCACAACTAAAGCCAGACGATCACAAACATCTACAACACAAACCAGAGGATTACAAATGTTCAAATCACAAACCCAATGATCTCAAACATTTACAACACAAACCAGAGGATAACAAATGTTCAAATCACAAACCAAATGATCTCAAACATCTACAATACAAACCAGAGGATTACAAATGTTCAAATCACAAACCAAATGATCTCAAACATCTACAACACAAACCAGAGGATTACAAGTGTTCACAACTAAAGCCAGACGATCACAAACATCTACAACACAAACCGTGAGATCACAAACGTCTACAACACTAGAAACCTAATTGGCTCGAATCGCTCACCTGGCATTAATCGTGTAGTTTTAAAAGTGGGCTAAAAACAGCTACAGGCAAAATACCAGTGTTTGATTCAAATTAATCTATTAAAAGATTTAAACATGTGACCTTGAAAGTCAAACAAGGTCATTAAGTTAAACAGACTTTATAGCCTTTCATACCAGCATGCTTCTGGCCAAATATCATTACCCTGGACCTTAAGATTATTCAGTTGTTAAAATATATCAACATATTCGACCCCTATGACCTTGCTAATGGATGAAAGTCATTCATTTGAACAAACTTAGTAACTTTCATCCCAGCATGTTACTGCCCAAATATCATCACCCTGGTCCTTTTGGAAACAAAGAAGAATTCGTTTACAGTTTCAACATATTTGACCCAAACCAATCAGACGTTTAAAAAACGAACACAACACAAACCATGAGATCCCAAACGTCTAAAACACAAGCCAGAGGATCACCAACGTCTACAACACAAACCATGAGATTCCAAACGTCTAAAACACAAGCCAGAGGATCACAAACGTCTACAACACAAACTAAACTAAACTAAAGCCGTTGGAGGGGGTGTTGCTGTTTATGTAGCAGCCAATCTTTTTGTCAAAAGAAGGTCCGATATTGAAGTTGACGATGTCGAATGTGTTTGGGTTGAAATAGCATCCAAAGGTCAAACATTTCTATTTGGTACTTTCTATAGACCCCCAAATTCTAACATAACTGTATGGACCAAATTTGAGGAATCCATTGGTAGGGCAATTAACTCTAGTATTGGAAATGTTATTATAACTGGTGATTTTAACGTCGATTTATTGCAACGCAGTCATAATTTTAACTATTTTGATAACATAATGTACACTTACGGACTTACGCAGTTAATTACTGAATGTACGCATTATACTGAACATTCGACATCCTTAATAGACGTTATATTGGTAAATAACGATTTTATAATAGATCGGTCTTATGTAGGGGAATCGTTCCTTGACCAACCAGTAAGATACCA